AGGGATCATGAAACTGCCCTTTAGAGAATTCTCTCTCTCTCTCTCCACAGCTTCTGCATCTTCTCTGCTTAAAAAATTGTGGGTCCGACCCGTTTTTTAAATTAATGATATAAAACCGAATTGTACCCGTTTTTTCCTGTATCGGGTCGTCCGGCGATGGGTAAAACCACCCGGTAACTTTCTGAACCGTGAATATACATCAAAATTAGTAGCATTTTTTTTCAAAAAAAAATTGCTACTTGCAGTCCATAGTTATTGCAGTTTCCATCAAACTTTGTTTTCATATCTCATTGATTTTGACGTATATAATTTTTCTTCACATAAATATGTAAACTTTTACTTATTACGGAATACTAATACTACAGATTCTCCACGACCCTCCTAAAAGCTCTGATTTTTGGTAATACACTACTGACTACTGCCTGCTCTTAATACGTTTCCTTTATTATTATGTTCGATATTATCACTTATTTAAGTTGTTACCACAAAGTGATATTCCCCTAGCTAGTTTTTTCTTCAGAGTTTTTCCATTTTGGATCTCTTCAAATATATTAACAAAATATTAAATATATATATTTGGTAAGTATCTTATTGTTCTTGAATAGTGTTTCGTTATAATTCATAAGTAGATATAAAAATCACACGTTTGGTTTGTTCCATTCCATTTATGCAATACAAATCCCGGATTTGGCAAGTGGAATAAACACAAACAAAACGAAATCTCAATTCTTGGGAATATTGTCGTCAATAAATACAAGTTATTATATACTGTATGAAATAAAATTAAAATATAACTAAAGCAAATACGAGAGAGTGGATTGGTAAGCTAAGGTAGATGCATGTATGCATGTTTAAAGGGTGAAGTTTGAGGTTTCGGGAGACAACAACAATAACAAATTAATGCCACAACAAATGCCACTTTATATTCATTCTTATCATAGAAAAGGGAATTAACACGTTTACCAAAATAACATAAAGACCAAGAAAACAAATCTTTTCTTTGGAATGCACTTTTTAGTGGAATGTGAAATTTATAAATTTTAAGTTAGTTGTGTGGAAAGAGGAGGGGACTCTTTTGACCCAATCTAGACTAATGTCTAAGGGTCCCCATTCCCTTTGCGAGTCTCTGCCTCGTCCTCTTCGATCTAATGTTACTTTTCTCAAAATTTTAATTCAAACGTATAATACCATCCACTTTATTATTATTACAAGATCGATACATTAATGTTGTGTTACATATATCCATGCGAATGTTGGCAGCTTATATATGTAGCCTATGATGTACGTAGTTATATGAACCTAAGATCGGGTTGTATTATTATGCGCGCCTTAGGGTTTAGGTAGAGTCAAGCATCAAATGGAGAAATATTTCTTTTAATCACTAGACACAAAGTTATATTCAAATCCTATATTAAACTTTTTTTTGTAAACATAAAGTTAGGATCTTGTAGGGTTAATTTAGGGGGCCCAAGCTCTCAGATTTTGCTTTGTCTAATTTTTTGTTTTTAATGATTATATAATCTCGAGTTTTCACTTTTAAGACATTGTTTGGTGAACTTATGCGATTAATTTTGTAAGGTAAAGTTAAAAATGACACATGCTGCATGTGGGATACCGTGTCTGTTTCTTCAGACCAATACTTAGGTTTAGTAAATAGTAAATCTTCCTTTTTCAATGCGTCTGTTTCTATTTAATTGACACTTTTTGTACTATGGAGTAAATTTTAAACGTAGTATTTATGGAAACATAGTATTTAATTCTCTCATCTATAAATTAAATAAATATATTAAGCGAACAATATTGTACTACTATTGTTTTGTAGTACTTATATTGGATACTACAAAGTACTAACTCAAAATATAAGCTGATGAATCTAATTACGTGAAGTAGTTTTTTGTTAATATGTACTCCGTGTGTTATAATTTATACGTTTGAAAGTTGTTTACATTTTCATTATGTAAATTTTTTTAACGCAAAATTAGTTAATTTTGATGTTTTGTAATCATTTGAATTTTATAATGTCTTATACTATTGGTTGAATGTTACTTGTTAGATATTAAATGATAACCTTATGTAATTTTTTTGGTAGCTATATTAATTTTATTAGAAATGGAGAGAATATTATAATTGTGGTAAATATATATTTTAATCGGTATGAATAATTTCATATACACACATAGATACGGCAGCATTAGTATATTAAAAATTGGTCGTTTTCCACTCACAGAAAATATATTTCAACAGCCATTTCTTTTTTGTAAAATTTTAAATAAAATAAAAACGAAGGCTCAATAACTTTATCTGTCCCTAAGAAACCCTGTGCCAGTTGTAATAAGTCCTTTTATAATTACGCTTTCATTGTTTTTCTTTTGTTAAATGCCTGTGACTCCTCTCTAAAACGTACTGATTAATTAAAGGATTAATAGTACTGGTTTTTATTCTATCACGTCAACACAAGTACATCCAATAATAAAGAACTCGAGCATTTCAATTAAAGATACCAAAAAAAAAAACGAACCATTTATTAAACAGAGAAAATAATTTTCAAGGTTGATGCTGTTTTGTGTCTCTGTTGTGTTATCTTATAAATGTATTAAAATAATTTATTTTTGTTTTGATAACTCAGGGGTAATCCCAAGTCCAATAGGCCCAGACTAATCTCCTGGGGAAAAGGCAACCCATGGGTAGGCCCCCATCCGGGTTTTCAAATGGGTCGAAAGCAAGAACCTATACCCATGTGGGTGTCCGGAAATTCGTGAGGTAGTTCCCTCTAGCAGGGTTCGAACCCGGATTGTGTTTGCAACCAGAGCCCGACCTTACCATTGGGCCACGAAGACCCGGACAATCTTGCTGCCTTTAGAGCTTTGGAATTGTCTGATATATTTGTGGAG